ATATTGAATAGATACAGTATGTGGCAGCTGCACGTCCCTAACTGTATTGGAGGTGGGGAGCAGTGCTCAGCTTGATCATTAACATTACATTCTGCACATCAAAAGCATTCAAAAACAATCCATAGACACCGATTTGCTAAACAAGCATTGTATTGCTGGTGTCTGCTAAAGATAACGAATGAAGCATGACTTGTTGAGCACTAATGGTAAGTCTTTCTCGTTGTTAATGGTCATGTGCTGAGATAGGGGAAAATGTGTTACATGCCTGTCCTTGGCCCTGGCAATTAGGCTCTGCCGTGAACCATTTGTTACATCCGCTGCGTCTCGCCTTCAGCCTGGCACCTTGCTGATTACAGCTAGCTGGATCGATAATTAAACAAATTAAAGCATACTGCCGGGTCCATTTTCATCCCATCTCAGCCAGCGGCAGCAGCGACATCATGCACTGCTTTTATAAAAAAATACTCTTGCACTGCGACAAAACAAAAAGAAAGGGTTGCTAAAATGTTTCTATTTTGTTGGCATCAAAACTCCGACTTGTATAAAGATTTCTGCTGAAAATAGCCAATAATGTTACTTTGCGAAAGACAATGGATCAGACGTTCAAATTGAGATCATTGCTAGTTTTTACTAATATGAGACGTAGACATCAAGATGCAGTGTAAACGGGTTTACTTTCTATTTCAAATGAATGAGCTCCTAATTTTAATGCTGACTTAACAGTATAACCCAAACTCTTTTGCAAAAACATACATTTTTAAAGTTTACTTTATATTGAATTACTATACTTGTGTAAATAAGTTTCCAATCTTTAATAAAAAGTTGGTCAATGTGATAAAGTCTGTAGAATTCCACTAATTATTTCTTGTCTCAGGACCCTTTACCTTTACATGATCCAAAAACCTGAAAACTGAGCATGTTAAAGTGGGAAAACATCACACATTATCTCGCAAATCGCACCTATGAAGATTCAAGATTCAAAGGTTTATTGTCATAACATACAAAACTACGATGTAATTATGTAATGCAGTGGTTCTCAACCTGTGGTACGCGTACCACTGGTGGTACGCCAGCTCCCGCTAGTGGTACGTGGAGGAATCTGACATATAACAAATATTTATTTTATTTTATTTTTTTTATTTAACTTAAAGGTGGGTAGGTAATTTTGGAGAAACCAGCTCGAGTGCGCTAGAATTTGAAAATACACTTCCTTACAGAGCCCCTCCTCACACAACACACACGAACGCGCACATGACCAATGAGGGCAGAGATAAGTTTGTGCACAGATGGAAGGCTGACAGGCAGGTAGGCCATCCAGTTACTTTAGCCGGGCCGGCTCAGATGATTGGTCGTGCTTTTTACAGTACTACAGCTTCCACAGATGACTTTTTTTATGGATTTTTTGTGAAAGCACTTCAGATATTCATTGCTATCGGGATGTTAAGAGCATTCCATGGAATATAACAAAAAGTGTATCTCGAGCCGGTTTCTCAAACTTACCTACCCCACCTTTAACCTTTACACATAACACAGACATATAAAATACAGGAAGCACAACTAAGTAAACAAAAAGACGAAAAGCAGTCACTATATTGTGCACGTTTGGGACATTAAGGTACATTACTTATTACTGCAAGAGCAGCTGATGGTAAGGACCTCAGACAACTTCAATTTAAAACAGTGCCATCAGTTTGAGGCTTGATTGAATAACATTAATTACAATTTTGTAATTAATGTTATTCAATCAAGCCTCAAACTGATTTATTTAAATCATACTATCAAAATACTACAACAAATGAAAATAAGCTTGAGATAATTAAAACTGTGGTTTAAATTAGTTCTAATAGGCTATTGTTGTTTTCAGATTTAGAAACGAAACATTTTTTGTATTTATTTCTGGCGTTGCTAATTACGACCTTAACCGCGAACGATTAGCGAACGTTGCAAGCAAGCTAAAGAAAGAAGAAAGCTGAATGATGTTAAAAACCGTGGCTCAAAACGGGAGGTATTCGGAAGAGAGGTACTGAGGAGAATATTACCAGCAAAAGTGAACAAGTGAATGAAGAGGAGGACAGTCATCAACCGAGCACAAGTGCAAAAGTGATATGCACAGCCGCTGTGATGGAGGAGAGAAGTGACTCAGGAAGAAGGCATTTGCTCAAAGAATGGAGAGAAGGCTGAACAAGCACACAGTTGTCCTTAATTGTTATTTTTTTTCTTTTCTTTTTTACTTTGCCACCACAGAAATGGCAATAGCAAACATCAGCAGACTGAAGATGAGCTATTAGCCCTTAGGCTCATCTGCTCCTGGAGGCTTTCATTATTATTGTGGAACTGAATTCCCAATAGGACATTTTCTGTTACGATGTGGGTTGTTGCAGGAGGCCTACATTCACACTTTGGTATAGGTCCAGGAAATGATATGTGTGTACAGTTGACATTTGTTGTGTGAGAATAAGTTATTATTTTGTTCTTTATATATATATATGTGGTGAGTGAGAGAGAGAGAGAGAGAGAGAGAGAGAGAGAGAGAGAGAGAGAGAGAGAGAGAGAGAGAGAGAGAGAGAGAGAGAGAGAGAGAGAGAGAGAGAGGAGAGAGAGAGAGATGAGAGAGAGAGATAGAGAGAGAGGAGAGAGAGAGAGAGAGAGATAGAGAGAGAGAGAGAGAGGAGAGAGAGAGAGAGAGAGAGAGAGAGAGCATAATAAATAATGTTATTATGAATACATGTGCCTCCGAGTCCTGCATAGACTGTGCATAGACTGTATTTTAACATTGGTTATATGGTGGTACTTGGAGAGCCAACTATTTTCTCAGGTGGTACTTGATGTAAAAAGGTTGAGAACCACTGATGTAATGTATGAACAACTTGGATCGCAGGTTCCTCAACAGTGCAATTTAAAACAAATATATATAAATAACAACAATACAAATTAAAATTGTGCAAGCTCAGGTGTTTAATAAAATGTAAATGTAATTTATAGGTGACATATTTGGCTCATTTTCATATTCATATTTGCATTTTGGGTCTCTACTAGTATCTTTTTATGTGCTCTAATGTTCAAAGAACACACCATTGTTCTAATACGTTCTGACTGAAAAACACCTGTGTTCACCATTGGTCTGAAATGCTCCGTTTTAGCGCCTGTCTCTTTAAGCGCTCACCTGAAAAAATAGATTTATATATTTGGATATTATCAAAAATGATATACCCCTTCAACCCGCTTTATGATGCAAAAATACATGGAAATAACGCTTTCTGTAATAATGGACCTTCGAATAAATAGTTTATATAGTGATTTTATTCTGTTTAAATCTATTGACCCTTTGTCACAGGTGATAGGAGCAATGGAGTGCTGCTCACATTGCTTAATTCAGAGAGGTCTTGGCAGTCTTGAAGAAGTATCAAGTATTCAACAAAAAGAAAGACGGTTAAAGAAAATCTGGGTAAAACTAACAACCTGTTGCAGAAATAGGACGTTTCTTTTCTTATGATTTTTGGGAAACTTTTCTCTGAGGTTTGTGATTCTGAAGAAGATTACTCTGCAAAATGGTAGAAATCCAGCTGAAATTCATGTGAAGTTCACTTTGCTTGAAGCAGTTTCCACGCAGCTGAGTCGCTCCTTCCTACGTCACGGCCATCATGGCTGATTTGTTATCCCAACATGATATATGGAGGAGCGTTGCCCCCCCCCCCCCCTCCCTTCCATCGCTGTGCATCTTATTTATTCATGTGAGAGTCGCGGTGGGAGTTACATAAGAATATTGAATATTATTTCAGCGCCTGTCTCTTGTAGTGGTGGGGTTATTTTGTATAATTAGCTACAAAGCATCTCTACTGCTATCACTGCTACACATTTCTTCATCTTCTTCTTCTTGAAGAAGTGTATTGCTACGGTTTCTCAGTAGGTAATTAAAAGAAAAATACAATCGACAACGTGCTTTTGGAGTCGTGGTTTGCCCCGTTGTGCATTTTTTGGCGTGAAGATATGCGTGGTGTAGAAAAAAAGAGAGAGGGGGGGGGTTGGTGGGGTGGGGGTACTCCTACGGTGGGACAGGCTCCTGTAGAAGATGTGAAACCGATGTATTTAAGGTGGATCGATCATTTCGCCACATGATGGTCCCTGCCACATGCTTGGATTTGATTGACTAAATACATGTATCAATCATAGCACAACAAAAGTGTTGTTTCATTCTTTAAAAAGATATACTGTTCTCTATATCACAAATAGCTTGTTTATGATGATTTAATAAGTTAGTAACTCACTATTTCAAATACTTATGTAACTTATTCTCAAAAAGGGGGATCAGCTTTAAGAATATTTTTGCAATGTTCAGAAACAATATCAATCTTTTTATCAGGTATTTTTAGTTTGGAGTCCTTCATTACATTGTTATCATATGAAGGTCATTTTATATCCAAAATCAACTGTTCTTGTATTACCTTGTGCTCTTAACATATTGTTCCAAGATACCACACATTGAAATGATAATCAGTGTTTTGAGCAAAGTACGACTTTTAAGAGTCTAATAAACAGAAGTTACTTTTAAACGAAACCTTTTGGCGGTTAAATTAGTTAAATGAGTCAAATGTACTCCAGGCCCCAGCTTAAGGAACTGTAATGCTATTTTTAAGTAGGACATTTTGCTGACAGTTCTGTTAGCATCTTTCATTTAAGATAAGATCAGGGAGGGTCAACACTGTTTGCATATGTCTTGGTTATGAAGAGACCCTTTGGTCTAAACCCACCAAATGATTATGTATTGAACTGACATCTCTCTGATTATTACTTAAACCATTTAAAGATGATTAATTAAGACAACGTTAAACGCCTCTCCCATCAATGAAAGAGCAAGATGAAGGATATAATGACGTCATATCTGTCTACATCAGGTGTATTTGCCTTCACTTCCATTTCACTACACAGCCACAGCGTGTTCTCTGTGCTACTGTAAAGTGGCTGCTGCGCAAATACTGCGGACGACCTTAAATAAGGTGCTGGACTGTGTGCAGAGCAGCCCTGCCTCTCCCTCACTGATGCGGTGTCTACGCTGCCTTATGTCCGCTATATAAAGTGCACACAGCCGGCAGAGCTCACAGCTCCAGTGGACTGTTCCGTGGTGCTGAACTCTCTCACACACTCTCTGCAACATGACTGGAACCATGGACGGATTCTCGTGGAAACTTTTTATACTTTCTTGCCTGGTTGTTGTGCAGAGCTCGGCGCAAGACTTCGGACAGACGCAGTTTATTTGCACGTCGGTGCCCAAGGATATGGACTTGTGCGCGGCCACGATGCAGAACAGCGGGCCGGCGGAGGACCTGAAGGCCACGGTCTTGCAGCTGCGGGAGACCGTGCTGCAGCAGAAGGAGACCATCATGAACCAGAAGGAGACAATCAGGGAACTAACGTCCAAGTTGAGCCGCTGCGAGAGCCAGAGCCTCCCGGCGGCGGGACCCGGCGGGAGGCGGCCCGGGGTGAAGAACACGATGGGGGATGTATCCCGGGGCACCACGGACACCCTGGCCCAGCTGGGGCAGACTTTACAGACGCTCAAACAGAGACTGGAGAATCTAGAGGTGAGGAGGGGAGCGAAAAGGGAATTAGATGACCCTCCTGGTAATTAATAGGAAAATAGGGTTGAGCCTCTAATTCACTGCAATATTGTTTGCTTGGAGACACATGTGTTTTAGTGTTTAAATGACAGTCAGTGAGAAGCATTATGTAAAGTTAAGTCGCATTTTTGAGTAATTTGGCGCACATACAAACATAATCAGACTAGGAGCTTCACAAAGAGTAAAAGGGACCATCTTTGAGGGAGTTTAACTAAAGTATTCCCCGTGCCCCCTTTAACCCAGTGTGTCTCCCTGTGTCCGATGCAGCAGTACAGCCGAGGGAACAACACCGTGCAGGCGAACAGCCTCAAAGACCTGCTCCAGAACAAGATAGACGATATGGAGAAGCAGGTTCTGTCCCGGGTCAACACGATAGAGGAGACCAAACCGACCGTCAGGAACGAGACCGACCAGCGGAACAGAGTGGAGTCCACGCTTACCACTCTGCACCACCGCATCACAGACCTGGAGAAAGGTGCGTTTGGATTCTCAGGGCGAACGGATGTATTGCGCGCGCACAAAGATTTCCAAACATTGAAGAGTTCTAAACAAGATCAGGTGTCATTTAATGGTTTTAAAACAGCAAGGACGTGTGAGAAATCAGTATTACAGGACCAGTCATGTTGACGCGTTCACAGTGCCGCATCTCGCTGCGCACAGTGTGAAGGAGGAGAGGAGAGCTGCAATGCTTTGCATATCTCAGGACCTGTTAGAGCTCATGCTTCGCTGAGTTTCTGTTTTCCAAACCCCTAAACCTGAACAAGGTCCGCTGTGCAGAGGTCAGAGCCGGCTGGAAAGTTTGCAGCAGGGTGCGCCTCTCACTGGCGCGTTTTGCACGATCATTATATCGCGACTGGTACAGCGTCTCAACACTGATAGCAAATGGGCGAGAGACGGGGGAGATAGAGACACATAAAATCATAGTCAGAAGAGTGTATCATATTTAATCCGGAGTATAGGTATTTTTACGATTTTGGAGGAAAAACAAAAACATGTAAGGGTTATAGGGTCTTTCGAATCTTTCCTCAACTGACATTACTTTAATCATATACATCCTATAATCTTAACCATGATTCTACATACGTTAAAATATGTTCTCATTAACAAAGGTCTGCCTCTATGGTAGGTAGGGCTGCAATAATATGCTGTTTGGTTATATATCAAAGTCATTTCCAACTTAAATAATTGGACAAATTGCTTTGAGTCATTTTCTACTTAAATATGTATATTTCATGCTTTTCTTTGCTCCTAAATACCAGTAAATACCATTTTCTGGCAAACAATTTATTGATAAATCAAGAAAATAATCGAACTTTTTTCTTTTCAGTATATATTGTAAACAAATGTCATATGTAATCATCTTTAAATCATTTGGCTAATTAGTTTAATATATACAAATGTGAATGGTCTGGACCAAATAGTCTCTGAGTAACTGAGAGAAAAGTCAAAAGTGTTTCAACCGTCCCCAGTCTCCCTATAGAAATGACATAAGGTCGGTCACGGTGGAGCTGATTTGAACTATTGCTGAACAGGTTCATCAAATATGGAAATGATATAGTTGTAGCCCTAATCTATAATAAATCCCTGTCATCTCATCCACAGGTAAAGAAACCAGGCCCACAGATAAGTTTCAGCTCACCTTCCCCCTGAGAACCAACTACATGTACGCCAAAGCCAAGAGGAGCCTCCCTGAGATGTACTCCTTCAGCGTGTGTCTGTGGATCAAGTCCAACGCCTCCCCCGGGGTGGGGACGCCCTTCTCCTACGCCGTGCCGGGCCAGACCAACGAGCTGGTGCTGATTGAGTGGGGGAACAACCCCATGGAGATCCTCATCAATGACAAGGTGAGGGAAAAGTGATCATACGAGAACAAAATTATTTTATACAATTCTGCAGGATGTCGTTGTCGTTTTTTTTTGCATTTACTTGTATCATGTTTGTGATGGAGATCGTTTTTGGAGACTGGAAATAAAAATGAAGATGCTGGAACACTGGAACTAATGTCCTACAACACGGATGTTTATTTTAAAGGCTAAGGGGCAAACAATGTCACTACAAAACAGAACACAGTCATTTCTGAAATCGTCCCTTCCATGCATATTTAACTCATATCTGCCAGTAGTCATAACATGTCTGCACTCCAAAAGCAGAAGCAATACCCAAAGATTAAGAAGGACGTCCTTCACAATCTGGCTGATGTGACTTGGCAATGACCTAAGACCAAATGATTCCTAACATGAAAAGGACAAGTCGAATGTTTAAATATATAAATGTAGGTATATATGAATGGATATGGACAGTGCAACAATAGGAACAAGTTATAATACTTTGTGCTTCGATGACAGCTTCTCCTGTTCCAGAAATGGAAATGGGTTAAAAATAGGTGTTCATGTAGGTGAGCAACAGCGGGGATTTTTTTCTCAGATGGGAAGTGATTCAGCAAGAAGAGCAGAAGGTGTGGAAGCGACGGGTTTTCCAGGCGGAGTGTGACTCTGCAAGTGTGAAAGAGACAATTGTTCACGAGAGACAAATATATAATTGTGTGTCTCTGCTGCAGGTTGCAAAGCTGCCGTTCCTCATCAACGACGGGAAATGGCATCACCTGTGCATCACGTGGACCACCCGGGACGGGATGTGGGAAGCCTTCCAGGACGGGGTGATGCGGGGAAGTGGAGAAAACCTGGCACCGTACCACCCCATCAAACCAGAGGGGGTGCTGGTCCTGGGACAAGAGCAGGTGTGAATTCATTTCCAAATCAGTGATTCTGCAGTTATCTAATTCATTTAGGAATATTCATGAAGGAAATTAGATTGGTTGGAAATTGAAGAGGTGGCAAATGCTTTCCAATAAAAGGAGTTTGTAATTTATCATCCCTGGATTGGCAAAAATAAAAGTGCTTCATGAATTTGGCCTACAGTTTGACAAGGAAACATTTCAGATTTGACACAGGAAATTAGCTTGTTGCACTGTGGAAGAAATATCCAATATAAAGAGAGCATTTGGCCAATGACACTGCTTAGATAAATCCTCAATCCTCTCATGTTGTTTTATCCAAATCCACGTACACACACCTCTATACTGTAGACATTCCTACGTGAGCAATTTGGGGTAAAAGGGGCCCTATTATGCTTTGGGTTTCCCCCTTTCCTGTAGTGTGTTACATAGGATTGTGTGCATGTTAATGGTCTACAAAGGTGACAATCCCTGTGTTCCCTCCAGAGGGAGTTTCTCTCCCACACACAATTGCCAAAGAGGTGCTACAGCACAGGCAGTATGAGAAAAGTAAAGAGCTTTTTGAACATTAAAGCATGGAGACATGTCACGGTAGAGGCATAAAATACAAATATGAACCTGATCATTAGCATAATAGGGCCCTTTATGTATTTATGTATACCCAAGGACAGGACTGCAGGGTCTGCATATAGAACAAATGACCTCCTGATTGGTAAATCTTTCATATGTGCTCAAATGCTCATCAATGCGACCAGATAACACTTGAACTGTATCTTTGATGACTAACACTTGTCTGCGTTGCTCCACAGGACACGTTGGGCGGGGGCTTTGATGCGACGCAAGCTTATGTTGGTGAACTAGCAAACCTAAATATCTGGAATAGGAAACTTTCCATCGCCGAGATCTACAACTTGGCGACCTGCAACAGCAAAGCACCGGCCGGCAATGTGTTCTCCTGGACGGAGAGCAACATCGAAATATTTGGCGGCACGACCAAATGGACCTTCGAGCCGTGCCGTTCGCTCAACTGAACTGCAAGAGAGGCCTCTCTGTATTTCTGAGCTTTTGTCGTTCTTGTCTTCATTTGACGTTCGTTAGAGACTATTTCAGTTATATTGGTAAGCTTAAATCTGGGATTTCTATCATTCTTAGGTATTTATGTGCACTTTTCATCTTGAGGAAAAAAAATATCGTCTTGGAAGCCTCGGTGAGAAGGTTTTTGTTCCTCCTTTTTTTCTTGGGCGTTCAGTTGAAAGCACACCTAAGCTTTTTCGTTTGGCTGACTTGGACTGGCAGCTGGCAATCTGCGCCTTATGTTCGGACAATTCACAATCCAAGAGAGGAATTACATAACCGCCGCCCCCCCCCCCCCCCCCCCCCCCTCTCTCCTACTTCCCTCCGGAAAGTGGGAGATTACGCTGTCCATCCAATTATTGTCAGTGTTTGGCGCTGTGAAGTGATGTCTGGTGCGGTACAGCACCCTGCAAACCCCTCTCTGACCCTAACCCCCGACCCCCCTTTCTCCTTCACTGGCCCCGCCCCCTCCGGAACTTGCACTGTGACTGACTCCAGGAGAAGGAGGGTATGTTGAAGGACACTGCAAAGTCAGACTCTGGTACAAGTCAATTTGTAGTCGTTGTTCGCTTCAAGTGTTTCTGTAAGAATGTCGTTAAACTTGCCAACATTGCTACAAAGCCTGGGTGCCTTGGGCTGGTTCAAATCTTCAGCACATTCAGTATGTTCTCAGTTGCAAATTCAATGTTTTATTGGTTTCTGTTTTCCTTTCTGAGCTGGGTTGAGTTTCCTGTTTCTCTGGTAAATGTAATTTGATTACAGTTTGTTATCTGACATGACGTGTTTTGGCAGGTGTTTGTACTACTCTGTATAAGGAATGTTACAGTGTGTGTATAGTAACAGCATGAATGACGAGTGCTGTGAAAGTATTGTTGAAATCTGCTTTACTATCTTCTCTGGGTCCGGGTTTTTTACTGTATTGTTATATGCTCCAAGCATGGCAAAACTGAGAGATGAAGAATTTAATTTTTGTAATAAAATTGTGATACTTAATGTCACAGTGGATTCCTGGCTTTGGTTATGTGCATGTGAACATGTGTAGAGCGAGTGCATGAGAGTTAAAACCTTTTTAAACAAGGGGCATCTGACAGAAAGACAAGGAAGGCAGTGAAGGTCACAAAGAGGGCACTTGAGAACAGAAATTGTGTGTGTGTGTGTGTGTGTTGTCTCTTTTTTAGCTGACTGCAGAAGATAACTCACTCACTGCTTTGTTGTTGCTGCTGTGAGATGCCTGCACTAAACACAGCGAGGCTCACAGAGGAAAAAATGCTTTGTCATAGTGGCCTTTCAATGGCCAAGTTCAAGAGTGTAGTTTAAAGTAAAACTGCAGCTCCTTAAGTTAGACTTTTAGTTGGTTCACTCAGACCTGTTGCAGCAAACATTTAAATAATGAAGATACCTTATTCACATTTCTGAATCAGAATAACATGATTGGATCTTCTGCTATTAGACCTACTTTTTTTGTTTTACCATGAAACATTTCAGAAAAGCTCCTCACGATGAGCTGAAGTTATCTTTGTTTTTCAACACGTATTTTCCTCATTAAGAAAAAATCTTAAATGTTAATCACGTCATGTCGTGCTGAGTAATTTCTGCTCATACACACAACATTTTGTCTTATTCCCATTCTGATTAATCTAAAGAGGTGCAACTCCTGCGTGTTCTGCTTATGAATAAATGCATTGAGCCTTGACTGAAATATTTCTGGGGAAAGATTAAGACGTAGGTCCTTGAAGGCTTTCTTTTTCATGTCTCTTGTCTAAAGCTTGAACAGGTAGACTTTATTTACACTTCAACTGCTTTATGTCCTCTTAAGGTGGACCTTGAAGTGGAGTTTGTTTGGTTCAAACAGGATGGGTAAGGAGGGCAGAACCCACACAGATACAATAGAAGGAGGCTGGTACTTATAACAAAAAGCGAGCTTCATTAGAATAAAGCTTGTACAAAACAAAAGGAAAACAGCAAAACAAAACGAGGAACAAACCAAAAAAGACTTGACAAACACGAGAAGCAAAAGCAGGAGGCCACACAAGAAAAATCAAGATTCAGACAGAGACAGGAAACCAGGAACTACGGCAAGCAGAACATAGCAAGGGAAACATCGACGACAAACCCACAGAGAACAAAAAGGTAGACAGGCATATATACACACAGGACTAATCACACTGAAACAGGTGGAGAGGGCAGGCAAAACACAAGGGCAGCAGGCACTCAGACACAGGTGGATAGAATCAGGGCGGACAATCACAAAAAGCGGGAAAACACAGACAGGAAGTAAACAATCACATCAGGATCATGACAGATAGATTTGAAATGTTTCAATTCAACCACAACTGGCATCTCAACTTTAAGCATCTAAATCTCAATGAAAGGAGTTTTTCTTTAACTTTACTGCACGTATACTTCAACCATTAACTGTACACATTCCCAATAGCAATTTTGATTGCTTAGTTTATAGTTCATGTGACATTTCAGCTGCTCTCTCTCTTAAGCCCCTTCTCACTGGACGAAAACCTCACTAAGACACACTTACATAGCTTTCTGTCTCAGTGGGAAAGGCTACAATTAGCATTCATTACATGGACCAATGAATCCTCTAATTCAACCCACCAGACTCCATTGAAACATTTGACATGGTGATCTGTGTGAAACCAACTTCATTAAAACTCGTCAGTAACAATTACATCTGATTAAAACGTTCCTTGTCAGAGTTCTCACTGTTCCAACAATTACCAACTTGAGAGTGGGAAAGAGAAACTGAAGAAGTAACAGGCGGACAAGAGAGATATAACCACTGTATTTTTCAGCTGTTTACTAAGCATTTTTCCAATGGTATGCCGCATGACCCTGAATGCGACACAACGGTAAGAAAACATAAAGGCATACTTGTCTCCTGGCATTGGGAAAGGACTTTTATGCAAATGTTAAGTGTTTTCTTCCGTGTTTTGTACAAAAAAACGGTATATAAGTGCAAATTTGAATGAACCCGTTATGGCCTAGAGAATATTGGACCCCAAAGCAAAAGATTAGAGAGAGATGGTCAAAAACAAAAAGCTTTATTAAAGCAGAGGAACAGAAAAACGGTAGTGGCTGAAAACATCCCAGTTCTTGCATGGCCAGCATACTCACCGGACATGTCACCCATTGAGCATGTTTGGGATGCTCTGGATCGGCGTATACGACAGCGTGTTCCAGTTCCTGCCAATATCCAGCAACTTGGCACAGCCATTGAAGAGGAGTGGACCAACATTCCACAGGCCACAATCAACAACCTGATCAACTCTATGCCAAGGAGATGTGTTGCACTGTGTGAGGCAAATGGTGGTCAAACTAGATACTGACTGGTTTTCGGACCCCCCCAGACCCCCCCAATAAAGCAAAAATGCACGTTTCAGAGTGGCCTTTTATTGTGGCCAGCCTAAGGCACACCTGTGCAATAATCATGCTGTCTAATCAGCATCTTGATATGCCACACCTGTGAGGTGGGATGGATTATCTCGGCAAAGGAGAAGTGCTCACTATCACAGATCTTTTCAGATTTGTGAACAATATTTGAGAGAAATGGTTATTTTGTGTATATAGAAAATGTTTTAGATCTTTGAGTTCATCTCATGAAAAATGGGAGCAAAAACAAAAGTGTTGCATTTATATTTTTGTTCAGTGTAAGATCGTGACAATTCCCAGTGTTTGCACCTGTAATATGCAGCAGAAAATGTAGCATTGTGTTTGATGGAATAAAGTTCCATTCCTCAATGGGCTAAGCTCATGAATACATGCATTGAGCCTTGACTGAAACATTATTGCGAAAGGCAAAGTTACAGGTCCTTTCAGGGTTCCTGTTCAATAAATGTTGACTTTGAAGTGGATTTTCTTTAGCTCAGATAGAGAGTCTGCAACACCTTAATCTCCCATGATGCACAGCTGCCAGGGTCTAGCGCATTCTCAAAGATTGTCAAAGCATTAACACAAGGCACCAATACGATTCCTGTTGCAGTACAACTGTTTATTCTGTCCCTCAGCCACGTTGGCAGATGGATCTCAAAACACTTTATAAATAAGCCAAGTAAATGTACAGAAAATATCAAGACAACAATCACAAGATGATTTGTGGTGGTTGCCATTGTAAGAAAAACTTTCCAACCATATTCAGGAACAAAATAAAGTAATATATTTTTAGTATAACACTTTGAAAACCAGGAGGTTATTCTATACATGCTCATAATAAGTGGTGATAAGTATATTTTCTCATGTCATGTACGCAAGTACATTTTTGAGGTACTTGTACTTAACTTAAGTATTTACATTATAAGTGTTAATGTGAGAAACTCCCTCTGAAGGGAACTTTGAGATTTTAGCCTTTGCAGACCATTTACATGCACAACATCTTATATAACATAAAGGAGAGGGAAAACCCCAGGATGCATAATAGGGCCTCTTTAAAGATCTGAGTGCTTCTTCAACCACTGTTGTTAATCCTGCCTCATACAGACAGTGGACACACAGTTCTAATCACTAGGTCTGCTTTTCACATTCAGAGTCATTTTGTGCAGTACAAATGCATTTGTGCCAAAGCAGATCCAGGCAGCCTTAATTAAGCTTGATATATTTAAGGCAGAAAGATCAAGCTAAAGATAAATACAACAAATTACATATTGTATTTTACATTATATATAAAACATAAAACATGACATAGTACTATGGGTAAAAAGACAAAATGTCACTGTGTGTGCTGTCTGCATGAACATGTGTGACCATTAAAGAGGGTTTCATCCTCCAATTTCTATTTACAGTAGGTTAACATGTTGAATGATCTTTAGTAGTGCTTGTAGGCAGCTTACCTTCTAAGCTTACTTATGGCTCGAGCTTCATATTCAGCAAACAGATAATGAGAAGTACCAATCAATATTCTAATCTAGCTCTTAAGCTCTCAAATATGCCTATTTTTCAAAATGTCAAACTTTTGTTGACCACATAATTCTTGTTAAATATCAGCCATAAAACCTTAACTGTTTAAACTAAGAAAGCCACTTGAAGATGTTAAATAGCCTAACATTGGGTAAAGAGCAAACACAGCAGCTCTATTATGGACTTATGAAGGTTAACCAAATAGAAAGAAAGAGATGCAATCCCCAAACAACCACACAGTTACACATTGTCTGATTTATTTGATTCCGTTACCAAAGTAAGTGGAATCCAGTGATTTATTCCTGTTTTCGTTTAATGGAGGATGTAAATCTGCCATAACAAAACAGAAGGAGAGAGCTTTTTTAAAGGCCCCGTGAGTCAAGCCACTAGAGACAGACAAGAATCATGTTGCTACGTTATATCACATCCTCCACGGCGGCTGTTTTTTTCTCTTGGAGAGATTGAGTGGATAAAGACACGACATCTCTGCTGACATCTCATTAATTCATAAGCTGTCCCCGGTGGCAGAGGCAAGACAGGAATAATGCTTCAGTTCAGAACTGCAGCATTTCTCTTGTTAACATTGTGGTGACAAAGCAGCACCGTGTAATGAAAGTTTGGGGGTTGCCACTCTAAACAAATACAACTTAGGAAAACGCCTGCTGAAAGAGCGTGCGCTCCTTTAAAGTGCCGTAATGTAGCGAAGCCTTTGGACAATTGACAGTCTTATTAATTATGTCACTGGAGCGGTTTTACTGAGCTGTAAGACTTCAATTGGTCTAATTTGACTCACAGCAGACGCCTTAAAGTGGAGGGCCAACATCAAGCTCTCATAAGGGTGTGAAAGAAGAAAAGAAAGAGTCCTGTCATCCTTCTCCTCTCCTCTCCTTTCTCCCCCCATGGCGAGGGCTCCCACATACAGCAGGGAGTGGAACTTGTGGCATTTACGGATCAGCAGAGGCTTCCAGGGAGGATACAGGGAGGATAATGAGGCTTCCCAGGCAGGCTGGGATCAAGGTGAATGCAGGCTGCTCCACTGGTCAGGACTCACTGTGGGAAAAAACTCTCCACTAAACGATGACGTCTTAAACGCCATACGGAGAGGGCCCGATTATTTTACAGGAAGTTACTTTGAACAAGGAAGGTGTTATTATCCTCTCTATATATAGCCTGAATATCACACATATGTCTCAGTGGGCTTTATGGGCAGCATCAGCAGTTCACGAACCAAGGAAAATAATGTCCCTCTAAAAACCTTAGCACATGTGAGAAAACGTGAGGTCTCCTGGGAGAAGCAAGTCGAAGAGAGAAATGTCCTCCATGAATGAAGCAGGTGCTGTTGGGAAGATGTACAAATGTCTTTACAGCAGGATTAAGGTTACTGTGCACGAAAGGGAAATACAAATTAAATCTAATAAAATCAAGTGTCTTTAACATTCATTTTTGTCATTCATTATTTTACCATATATTTCGGTGCAGGGCAGAATCAGAGAGCTATTCTTTGAGACCAAAATGCAGCATTATTATTAACACTAGATTCAATTTTAAACCACACCAAGTCCCCGAGCTCGTTTAAAAGTGTAGCTATGGAATGGTAAATATAACTTGTTTCCTGCAGCTGTGAGAGCAAATAGGGTTATCTATGGTTATTCAGTCAGCAAAATGTTATGACTTTGTGCAAGGAAGTTCCTGATCTACTTAAACCTGCATATACATCTTTTTAACAGTGGAAAAAAAACATAAACAAAGCTGCTAAATTGGCACCTTTTGTGTTAAAATGGCTTAGAA